CTCCAACTTTAGCATTTAGATCTCCCATAAGGATGGTGAGGTCCTTTCGTGAGCACTTCTCTATATTTGATTGCAGCCTTTCATAGAACTGATCTTTATCATCGTCGTTGCTATCATTGGTGGGTGCATAACATTGGATAACGTTCATTGTGATCCCTTGCTTCTTTGTTCTGAATGATGCTTTGATTATCCTGGGTCCATGAGATTCCCATCCCACAAGTGCATTTCGTGCTTCTTTGGACAGCATTAGAGCAACTCCCTGAGTGTGTGGAGCATTTTCCCCTTCGTGACCGGAGTACAGCAGCATCTCTCCTGTACCTAGCCTTTGTTGTCCAGTTTGTGTCCAATGGGTTTCGCTGATTCCGAGTACTGCCAAGTTGTATCTCCTCATTTGCATTGCTATTTGGCTGGTCTTTCCTGTCTCCCACATTGTCCGGACGTTCCATGTACCTATAAAAAGTGTTGCTCTGGTTGTTAGAAGGTGCATCGGTCTCGTGACTTCCGAAGAATTTCGGCTTTCATCATGAGACGTCATTATTCTTTCAACTCCCAGGGCAGAGTTTAAATGGTTTGAATTATTTTTTCTGGTTAGCGTTTTTTTAGCGAGTTAGTTTTTCTACGGGATGGGGTCGCTAACCCCATGCCCAACCCTCCTCCTTTACCCGGGCTTGGGACCGGAAGTAACTCTAGAAGAGCTACAGGCGGAGTTAATAGAATTCAATGAAAAACACTAAAGACTAGACAAGGATTGCATTGATCAATACTCATTGATCGTTCAACGTACTGACATTTTTTTAAAAGAAGCTTGGATTCCAGCTACTACCCAATCTTTATGTTCTTTGTAAACAGAATCGTAATGTTTATTGATAATCTTAAACTGGTACTTGGCATGTACCTCATTTTCAATCTCCAATAGTTGGTTATCCAATACAGTGAAACCATTATGCTATAGTATTCTCAACTTGAAAGTTCATTCTTGAAACTATGTCAGTCAGTGAATTTATACTATTGAGCAATATGAAAACAAAATGAAACAGACCTTCAGTATTTTCATAGTTGTAAGCGTAAGTCAATTGAAGCTAGACCACCAGGAGAAACCTGGAAATACTGGACGGCCGTTTCGTCCTATTGTGGGACTCCTCACTGGCAGTGCGCTTCCATGACCTCGCCTCGCGAGATTCTAACCCAGGACCTACCAGTCTCGCGCCAGACCATTTGACCGACAGACCACTGAGCCGGCATCCCATGGCGTTTATGTCTAACTCCAACCAATTCACGATCTTTAGTGTTAACTGATTTCCAGTGTTTCTTAAGCTAACATCATTTAAAACAATATGTCTATTTCATTCTGAAAATTGTTTCTATGATACTTCTTCACTCTAAAAAAATGTTTTAAGTCCAACATATTTAGATAATTAGCGCATATTACTGGTAAACAATAGTGATTAGATGACCTGATAAATATGATGAAAGAAAAAGATCTAGACAATTCAGGTCAAGGTTATCTGTTACTAACTCGTGCACTACATTACAAAATCTGTTTGCAGTAAGTATAACCACTGCATGTGACTATATAATTATGGAATGGAATTTGGTTACTGAGCACCTATTGAGATTTTTAAACAAAAAAATAACAATAGGTCTTCATCTGTGAACTAGACTGGTTGCTTCTTTACATTATAAGCTTACGTGTTTATTTTAAGTTTGGTCTTAAACAATAAAGGAATATTTTCACTATTGAAATCATGAGTCGATTGAAGCTAGACCACCATCGAAAACCTGGAAGCACTGAACGGCCGTTCTGTCCTATTATGGGACTCCTCAGCTCAGTGGTCTATCGGTTAAGAGCTTCGGCTCAAGACTGGTAGGTCCTGGATTTGAATCTCGCGAGTGCGGAATCGTGGATGCGCACTGCTGAGGAGTCCCATAATAGGACGAGACGGCCGTCCAGTGCTTCCAGGTTTTCCATGGTGGTCTAGCTTCAATTGACCCATGATTTCAACTATCACATTAATCAGAGTTTAATACCTTGTCCAGAAGCTCGTTGATAAGCTGTGAATACTACAAATGAACCTCATATGATATTGAAAAGATATCTTGTGTCAATTTATAGTTTAATTCAATGAAGAAGTTAAATGATTGAGTTTTTTAGAAAGATTAGAACCTATAGGTAACATGTTTAGGTTGTAAGCGAAATGTACTAGATTCAAGTCTCAGTGTGAAAATGAAAACTGGGTTTAGGTGCATCCGACTGATGAACCACAAGTTAGATGAAACGAGTATACTAGATTACTAGTCACATTCTATCGATTGTGTCATGATGGCTGTATTGAAGTGATCTATATGAGTTAGATATATATGTCATTCAAGGCTGGTCTCATTTCAATTAAACTATCAACAATGAGATTACTTAAACCATTATAAATTAAACTACTTGCGCGTATTTTGTATAGTATATGAGTAAACAATTTTAAACATTACCCTTTCATCCATTAATATATATATACGAATGCAGACAAGTAGATCAACGACAAGTGGATTGAGCCATGTTGGTAGGTGTAGACTACCTGGTTGGGATCAGCGGGGTGATAGCAACCGATGATTAGAGACCTTGAATGACATGGCTCAAAATCGTTTGCAGTGACGAAGGTGCATCCACTCTTTTTGTTCTGCCAAATTCTAATCTTCTGAATTCTTCATGTCCCTTTATTATTTCTCTTTCCAAATTTATTTCACTGGATTATACTCCTTGAATAACATCTTCAAACCCTAATCTTTCCGACTACTGCTTATATTCTTACTACTTCTACTAATGTGAGATTTTAATCGACAACTGCATCTCTATGCTAATGTGGTATGGCGACTCGAACTGATGTACGTACGTACGTACGAAGTTCTAGGTTGTGGCTGACTGACTGATAAATCGGATTATTTTGATTTTGACGATACCAAATTTTCCCTACTTTGTTTTACTTATACTATTTAAACTTGGGGTAATTTGTCAGCTAATCAACACTATTAATTACATACGTGGTTATAAATAGTAAGCAAAATGTATTATTCGGCAGCAAGTAGACAATTGTATTAGTTGTAGCGATGAGAATAACAAAGTAACAAGAGATCTAGTTAATAAATTCGATTAGTATTGTTTCTTTGAATCTTCCCATTGATGTTTAGGAATCCAACTGGTCAGTCTCTTATTAACATATGTGTACACTGTGCGTATGGCCTCAATATAGCCTTAATTCACTAACATTATAAGCAAAGATGGATAGTGGCTAGCAGTGGAACCAAGTTTGACGCAAATTTCGTCCTATTTGGGACTCGTCCACTGGATGTACCCGCATCTCACAGTTGATGTTCACTCCACAACTCTAACCCAGTGCCTTCCGCTTCAAACTCCATCACGTTATCCACTCAGAAACAGAGTCCTGATAGTCACTTGCTTATAATGCTTGTGAATTAAGGCTATACTGAAGCAATACGCACATTATGTACATATGGCCAATAAGAGACTGATCAGTTACAGTCCTAAACATCAATGGGAAGATTCAAACAAACAAAACTAAGTGAATTTAAACTTCACCCCATTGCACAAGCAAGTGTCTATCAGGACTCAGTAGCTGAGTGGATAACGTGATGGCGTTTGAAGCGAAAGGTAATGAGTCCGAGTAACAGGGTGAACTTCAACTGTGAGATGCAGGTACATTCATCTGATGAGTCCCAAATAGGACGAAACGCGCTTCAAAATGGATTCCACTGTTAGCCACTATCCATCTTTGCTTATAATGATCTAGTTAATAGTTGGAAATAGTAAGTAGATGAAAAATGGATAAAACTTTTGATTTCTACCCATGTCAATTGCCACGTAACAAATCTGTAATCAGAATATCGACTTTTATGACCTTGTTCATATGTTAAATCAATAATACACAAACCAGTTTTAGTAGCCTTACATCAACTCTAATTCTCTAGCTTCTCAACGAAACCTACCTCCGACTTTAGAGTACAATATCAGCTTCCATTGTATGAATCGTATATTTCAGACATGTGTAGTTTATATATAAGCAGACCAGACTGCTTCACACCATAAAATAAAAAGTAACAATTATTCAGGATCAAGCCAAAAATGATGAAATTGAACCCCATTGTAAAGCGACGACGCTATACGGCTGATTAATTGAACTGATTCGATTTTATTTATTATATGACGACTAGAAGCTAGATGTTCCATGGTAGAGCTGTGTATTGTTTTTCTCAGTGATGGGATGTCATCCCATCAACGTAATGAGATGTCAAGAGAGTTTAGTTTATTGTCACAACCGTTCTCACTAGTGAAAGTGATTGCCGAATATAAAGTGTTAAACTGACTTGATAGTTATTGATGTTCGATGTCATGAACAGATCGTTAGGATCACTAGGAATAATTGTAGCACACAAACACACAAAATATTTGCATCCAATATTATGCAGGCTAAGGGACACTACGACAAACGGAAATAAACAAAACATCATCTACAAAATCTGTTGCACCAACTGTGAAGAGCGCTTCATATGGCAAAAAGGTACCTTGCTTCGTCTACGTCTACATGAACATCAGCTTGCAATTAAACGCCACTGCATATCTTCTCTTATATCAGTTTATGTGGACAAATATGGACTAGATTTTTGTTCGGGAAAACGTCGAAATACTGGACAGAATTGTGTCCTGGAAATGTTGTCAAGAGACAAGCTTCCTAGTTCAACAATCCAGCTTAAAGAACAAAACATCGTCAAAATAAAGAAAAAAAAGAATTCTTTATAAATAGCCAATCATATATTAGCTTAACGACCTTGTCCATTCTCACATCTGATTGGATAATTTTATCAAGTCAAATTCATTCATACAATTCATGAAGTTCAGTTATAAAGTTACCCGACACAATGATTAATCTTACTGATACATTGAAACCTTTCTCATTATCTGTTGTATACAATTATCTTGGATCTAATTGAATAACATGAGTAATTCAGGGATCTTCGTCATCTTTACTGTATTTCTAATTTATGCTTATAAAGCAGATGATTGTGGAAGTAAGTTACTAGTCATTTGATATTTTGGTTGATTGATTTTGAACTGATTATACTTTGATAGTTATTAGAACTCTGGAAAAACACTTAATAAACTGTTTTATTATAGTCTAGAACTTTATAACTGGATGCATTCATATTCTTACGGGAACTTGAAGACAAGACTTTGAGACTAAAGTGTTGTATTCTATGATGAAGTAGCTGTAGAGTACTCAAAGTTGAATTAGATTCATAACTTTCAAATTGATTCATTCCATTGGTCAGTAACTGTTGAACTTGAAACATCTATTCTTAAAAGAATCTTAGGCATTCCATCTCATGAAGTTAATCAATAGGTTATCTATGACTACTTTTGAAGAAAGTTTAGTGTTTCCTTAGAGGAGTCACGTTCCGGTGATGTTAATATACCTATTTCAACGAAATAAATGAAATGTGATTGTGTATCGTTATTAGGGAAGTGGTAATAAGAATAAAGTTAATTAGAAGATTGAAAAGAAATATATGACAAATTGATACAAATCACTTAGTATTGTTTGTTTAAATCTTCCCATTGATGTTTTTAGGACTGCAACTGCTCAGTCTCTTATTGACCAAATGTGCATCCTGTGCGTATTGCCTCAATATAGCCTTAATTCACAAGCATTATAAGCAAAGATGGATGGTGGCTAACAGTAGAATCCAGTTTGACGCGCGTTTCGTCCTATTTGGGACTCGACAGCTGGATGTATCTGCATCTCAGAATTGATGTTCACTCTGGGACCCGAGCCCAGTACCATTCGCTTCAAACATCATCGAGTTATTCTTCCCATTGCACAAGCAATCGGCTATCAGGACTCAGTAGCTGGGTGGATAACGTGATGGCGTTTGAAGTGAAAGGCACTGAGTTCGAGTTGTGGAGTGAATATCAACTCTGAGATGCAGGTACATCCAGCTGACGAGTCCCAATGTTACCACAGCACGAAATTGATTTAACACACGTACGTTACTAGTATTTGACAACAGATGCCTTAGAAATATTACTCGCATCTGCTGGGATAACCAGGTAAGTAGTAGTGAGGTTAGACACAGGGTATTAGGAAATGATGGTAAATCAGTTGATGAGATTGTGAATCTTCATCGACTGAGATGGTTCGGCCACGTGTTACGTATTTCTGAACACTGATTACCACGACGCGCAATTCGGACTAGTATTGGTGATGGTTGGAAGAATGTTATTGGTGGTCAAACCAAAACGTGGCATCAGAGCTTCAAGTCACTAACATGTAGCCTAAACCATGCTGGCAGATGCAGGCTACTTGATTGGGGTCCGCGTGACTATCGTAACCAATGGTTGGAGGCTCTGTGTGACATGTCTTAGAATCGATCACAATGACGTAGGTATATACACTCTTTATCTTCCCTTAAACCTTGAGACTAAAATTACTTCATATCCTTTTTTTCTTCGTATACTATATCCTTATATGCAATCTTTCTTTTACATATTATCACCATTAAATTAACTACTTCTATGAATTCGGTGTTCATCTTGTTGTCCTAACGAGGTATGGGAACTTGTACCGATGTATATGTATGCCTGATCCTACGTTGTAGCTGACTGACTGACTTTGAGTACATGATTCTGATATGAGCTTCTATGATCCTTGATCACTGTTTTGATATTGTAAAATATTTCCCTACATGTTATACCTAAGATAGTAGAGAAAATTTGTATCTTAAGTGGATGATTTTGGTAAAATGTCATTTTTTTGAGTTAGACAATTCAGATACGAAGATTTTATTCTTCTTCTACACAAACATCATTAATACAAACTCTAAGTAGAAATGAATGATTCAAATTTCTTTACGTACAGCTAACAACTTGTTTTGTCAATCTTGATCTTCATTGGTTATTGATGCGATTTCACTTGTTATTTTCTGCATATTTTGAGATGGTGGAGAAGATTTGTAGCTCAGATGGGTAATTTTGAGGGAGTTTTATTCTCTAAGCTGGATGATTTGGTCGTGAAGCTTTCATTCTCCTTCTGAACAACAGCATCAGCACAAACTTCAAGTAGAAGTGAAATGTTTGAATTTCTCCATATGTGATTCACATATTGTCTTACATATTTTGTTTTGATTGTTTGTTCAATTTTGATTCTTGATATTCTTGATTTTATATTTGTTCATCATTTTGATAAATTAGATCAGTTTCGATAGTCAGTCAGTCAATCAGTCAGTCTTGAGTGCTATTAGTGGTATGAGAGTGATTATGTTTATTGATTACTAATTGACTTGAGTGTTCGACACCTAAACATTCACTCATCTTCTTCTTTGTATTTCCTTCATTCAAATCTCAACGTTTATCCATTCGAAATTATATTTAAAACTGTCCACATGGATTGATGTAAAGATAAATCATAGTGTTTGACAGCTAGTCGGTTAGCATTCAGCAGTCAGTCAGTCAGTCACAACTTATTCTTACAGACGAAGATGTAGAAGAGTGTAATGTTTCTCGTTGTTCGAACAGTTTATTTAACTATTCAACTCTATTCAAATGTTTGTTCTTATACACTTCACTATAGTAAAATATTATTTTAAGCGAGAACATAAGAGTAAACAAGACAATATGTTTGGACTACCGAATAAACTACACAAATACTCATTCATATACATATATTAGTCTGTCTTTAAGAAATTAATCCATTGATCACGATGAAATGTACTTGACTTTTAAGTTACTTTTGATTGCCATCGATCGACCTTTTTATCAGGCTACTGTTGATTGGCTCTGCATATCATTTTGTTAGGAAACTTAATGACTTTAAAATGATCATTTAAAAGTTGAAGGGTATTATCAGAATTTTTCACTCTAAACCATCTGATAATAATTATATGGTCACTGGTGACCAATAGAGTTCAACCAGGTATGTTGTGAGATAGTAACTCACTGAAAACAATAATGAACTTGTCGTTCAATTTCGTGGTTTAGTTGAAATTAAACACCGTTGGATGATGGCTCAGTTATCTAGAGGTTAAGCGTTCGCGCGCGAGACTGATAGATCCTAGGTTAGAATCTCGTGAGGCGAGATAGTGGATGCGCACTGTCACTGAGGAGTCCCACAATAGGACGAAACAGCCATCCAATGCTTCAAGGTTTTCCATGGTGGTCTAGTTTCAATTGACTTATTATTTCAACCGTAAAATTACTAAAAACTCCACAAAACCCCCTTTTGATCATTTATAACTGTCATTCAAATGATGTAAGCGACTAATCCTCTCAATAACTTTAGCATTACTCTGTGCACCTAAAATGCTTAATTGTGATCAAATCGAGGATCATTTGAATAACTTATCAATAATATTTGACGAAGTGAAGTTTGAGTCATGTTTTACTAAAACAAAAGTTGAGAAGATAACTTTGGTGGATTCATTGAAGTTATCCATTCTACTTCACAATGTTGACTATCAGTTAGTGAGAGCTTTAAATTTCTAGTTCAAATAGTTGCTTGTAAACTTATAGGTTCATTCCTTGTAACTGATCACTTTCAATAATTGTAGTTCCAGGGAAGCAGTTGGCCAATAAAGCGGCGCGGAAAAGTGTCTCAGCTACTGATGACGTTATGAAACCATATCGTTATTGTCCTGGAACAGTAGCCCTGCGTGATATTCGAGTTCCATTTAATCTTAAAGCATTAACTAACTTCACATTCATATTTTTAGAAGATATGTTTAGGGATCTAAATAGAAATACTTTGTTTAATAGTTGAGTTCATGAATCGATGAAAGCTAGACCACCATAGAAAACCTGGAAGCACTGAACGGCCGCTTCTAGGTTTTTCATGATGACCTAGCTTCAATCAACTCATGAATTCAATATATACATATATATATATATAACCCCTTTTCTGAAAGCATTTTATCATTATCAGAAGGGGGTTTTGTGGAGATTTTAGTGATTTTATATAGTTGAGTTCATTAGTCAATTGAAGCTAGATTATTATGCAAAACCTGGAAGCAGTGGACGGCCGTCCCGTCCTATTGGGGGACTCCTCAGTGGCAGTGCGCATCCATGATCCCACCTCGTGAGATTCCAACCCAGGACCTATCAGTCTCGCACTTAACCTATAGACCACTTAGCCGGCCGTCATCCAACAGTGTTAATATATAATTTCAACCAATCTGCGAAATTGAGTAACCATTTCAACAACGTCTTCATTGAGTTACTATCTCCCAACAGATCTGGTTGGACTCCACTGGTTACTGCTTATCACTAGAACTCCACAAAATACCTCATGGAGCCAGTCACTAGTGAGCATATAATCGGGATCGTGGATGCGCACTGCCACTGAGGAGTCCCACAGTAGGACGAAACAGCCGTCCAATGCTTCCAGTTTTTCCATGGTGATCTAGCTTCAACTAACTCATGATCTCAACTATATAATATTTTATCATTAGTTAAATAAATTACTAATCAACAATTCGAACCTTATTTTTTCATATAACATGATTATCATACAAAGTTATATGGAAGACCTTAGTAACTATCATTATGGTTGTTATGTAATGTGACTTATAAGAACCTATAATTGTATGCCATTTCATTTTAAATTATTCTTTTTCTCAATTTCATCTTCATTTTGTTCTTCTTCTTCTTTTCTTTTAATGGTTAAAATGACTTCGTGGTCACCTGGGTACATACGACTGAATCACAAGATGATATTATGAGATCACTTGTTAATGATAAACTAGATCTGTGTCATAATGATATCATCTTATTAAACTAATGGAATGATTCAAATTAGATAATCATTGAAAATTTGGAAGCTGTGAACAGTCATTTCGTTCCAGGATAGAACTCTTCAACAGTACATATTCATGACTTCATAACTGGGAATTGAACTAAGAACCTTAAGTCCCGTAAACGATTGCTCTTTCTATACATATACAATGATGGGCACATCTGTTAGGGCGATACTGAAAATTTCTCGAAATAGATATGACAAGCTTAGGAAACATTAAGAAGC